ATTCAGCCACTAAGGAAGCTCAGCAGCATTGTCACTAAACTTTTTTTTGGATCCAGTTAGGAATATGGAGAGCTGCAATAGAGAAGGTACAGGGTCATTGACTTAGGTTTACATGAGCACTCAGATGCTCAAATGGTGTTAAGTTACTGAATTGTGGATACTTTTAGCTGATAGAAAATTCTTCTGGTGGGGAGAAGTTACCTTCTGTTAAAAAGCTGGATATTGTTCTGCCTGTCTTGCTAAGCAAGTGTGAGTGGTGGGCCTTGTTTTTTCTTGAGACAGGTGAAGGCTTGTAGATAAGGACTACTGAATTATTGTAATTTCCATATCCAGAAGTGGGGTTAAAGAGGTGAATGCAGTTACAAATTACTATTTCTGGAAAAAATAACCTCAAAAGATGTGCAGTAAAATAGCCTTATCTGCACCAATTCCAAACTTGCAATCCTTGAAGTTTAAAAGAAGAAAAATTGGGGCCAATATTTACTGCCTTAATTTTATAACACTAGTCTTTTGTCCCTTTCAGGTCCTGTCCATCTAGCAATCTTTCGCTCTCTCAGAGAGCATTAAACTCATAAGCCATTAATGGCTAAATACATTGCAGAGAAACAGCAAAAGATGAAAGGCTGGAGAAGAATTGGGGAAACTGGTAACGTTAACCCAATATCACTTCCCAAGGGAGAGAACACTAATGGATAAAAACCTAAAGCACAATCTCAACTTGGTCTAAACTTTTGTATTTACATCCAGAATCACTGAGATCAGACCATGCTTGTCTGAGGGCAGTGGTAAGCACATAAAGGCTAACAGCATTGTTAGTGATAAATAGCAGTGGGTTTATGAAACAGGAATACAGCAGACAATAACCTTTCTTGATACAATTAGATAATTAGCGAGCAAAAGGAATGGAATGAATAGACTGACTCTAGACCATGCATGAGCTTTTGACACAAAGCTGTGCAAAATCTTATTAGGGAAATTAGATCAAATTGGGTTTGATACAAATCCTGTGAAATGAATCATGGATTAAATGACAGAGTGTAAACAGAAGGGTTAGAGATATTCTTTATCCTTCTGCAAAGGTGGTGTTCAAAAGGGCAGTGTTTTGACTGTAAATATTCGTTAGTGGAGGAAAATGTAAAGCAATCAGCCTCAAATTTACAATTAACTTAACTGAAAGGTACTAGAAAAAAGATCAGAGTGAAAAAAATAAGAGCTAGCCTGAAAAATTGAATGTTATGAAGAGGCTTTGGTAAAACAAGTGGCAATTAGCACTGTGTAGTTTAAAGATGATACTGGATCTACTTTAGAACAAGGAGAATCTCCAAATTTCATGTTGCGCAGAGCACAGTGGCAAAAGCAGCTTATGTTCAGAGAGGTCCCGGTGAGACAGTAGCTATCAAATGATGTGAGCTGATGTGCAACCTGATGTCTGGCAAAGCTACTGCTCATTTGGTCCATATGTCTGCCCGGCTGTGTGCTTTCCAGAGTGACTCTCCCCTGTAGCGCTGTGGCATTGCGCTGTGCAATTCGGGGCACCTTGCTGCAAGAGAGACCCAGGCAAGTTGGAACAAATCCAGAGAAGGACCACAAAGATGCTAAAGGGATTAGAAGGAATGACCTATGATGAGGAAAGGTGAAAAGAACGAAATGTTTAGAACCTTTAAGCCTGTTACATGGGCACAGAAATAGTAACGGAGTTTCCTGTGCCAGCACAGAGGAGAGTTGGATCAAGTCTCTCTCCTTTTACATTCCTATTAAGGTAACTAGAGCCGAGCAAAATGACTGTTCATCACTTTGAACTCTTTGCAAGAAACATTTAGCTGTTCTTCTTGAAGTTCAAGATGTATCTCATTGCCAGGGGACACTCTGACTCTGTTTAAAAATCAGCACGGGATCTCCATGAGACTTGCAGAAAGTCAGAGGCCAGAAAAGAAAAACACAAGAGAAAATGGCTGAAGTCTAACCAGCACTCCCTATGTATTGCTGCCTCCTGGAAGGGAACAGGAGGGTCCTCAGCTGGAAGGATGTAGGGGGGTTGTTACTATCCATGATTCACTATCAAACAGTCACTGCATGCCTTGGGAAGGAAGGCTCCTTAATTGAGGTTGTGAGTTGAGAAGCCTGATATACCTTCTTTTTTTTTTTTCCCCTCCACTGGAGGGAAATATCTCAGTAAGTCCTCTTGAGGTCATCTATGAAAGTTAGGCTATTTAAGAAACAGAAGCTGGGATTTGGATTCTGCTGATGGAATCTGCCAGTACAGCTCATCTCTTTGTCATGCCTTTTTTGTAGTGTTGTCCTTACGATTCCAGCTCCTTTTACTGTGGAGTTCCTCAGTGCCGAACAGTGTTTTATGGTCATTTTGCCTTCCATTTTGACCCTAATCTCATGTTGCTGTATCCTGTGATCTTCATATCTTTACCAAAACTGCACTTCTCAGGTAGGGAGAGGCCTCAGAACAAGGCCAGCACAGCAGCTTTCAGCTTTGCTATGAGATGCTAAGATCTGCTCTCAGTTAGCAAAGCTTCATCTTTGCCCACACAGTCAGCTGGCATTACACTAGAAGTTCTGCAGTCTGTCTAGGAGCCCTGTGGGATTAGAGATGAATGCACCTGTGGCAATTATTCCTGTAACTGCTCCATGACCTCTAGTTTGGTGTGGCCCTCTAGGCAAAAGCATGGGCATTTATCAACTCATCACACTCATCCGTCTCTGAGACGGACCAAACTCTGGATTCCTCTCAGGTAACACCAGGCAAAGCAGCCGAGGAACATGAGATGCCTGCCCATACTCTCAAGGTCAACAGTCTTGCCAAATAACAAACTTGGCTGATCGATCCCAGAGATAGGAGATGAGGTCAAACACTGAGGATGAAACAGAGAAGGGAGAATACTTGGGTCAAGTGAGATCATAAGGATGCGACTGTGAATTTGCTGCATATCAAACATCTATATTCCTATCAACAGACACACAGATATGATATATATATGTGTGCACTCCAGCCTTGCTAATTCACAGAATATTTTGTCCTGTCCCCTGATGGCTTTGACCTCTTGGCAGAAGGAGTTGCCACAAATACCAGGTAAATAGACTGAAACTGTAATAGAAATTACCCACATGACCATGGTATGGTAACTTTAAACCAACAGAGCTTCCAAAAAGAAAAGTGAAGCATCCCTAGTCATTCAAAATTCTTTGGCCATGTCATCAGAAAAATGCATGTGTTTAGTTTTTCTTAAAGCCTTTGACAAATTATCTTGCTGAAGGGAAAATTTAACCTCTCAGGTTAGTACTATTATCAATTAGAAGTGTCAGAGACAGAAAGAAAGGGTAGACATACCCTACCCATAGAAGAAAGAGAAGTCAATTTTCAGCATGATAAAAGTTAACACGAATCACCCACAAAGATCAGTGTTGTGGTGTTTGATCCATATGTTAATGATCTGGGAAGTGGGTGAACAATGAGACTGCAGATGACATCAAACTATCACAAAAGACTGGAGAACCTCAGAGGATCTTAATAAAGCTGGGTGTGTGGACTGCACAGCACAGTGGTAGACGAGACACGCTGTTGACTATTGCAAAACATTGCACACCAGAAGGCAATAATTTGATTTTTTGTACATCCTAATGGATTCTAAATTAACTGCAGCAACTCAGGAAAAGATCTGAGGATTGCAGTAAGTAACTTTCTGATATTCTCTGCTGAAGAAATGGTAACAATTTAGATTTTAATTTAAAGAGGGGAAAAAGCAAACAGTGTAAGGAGTTATACACTAGATAGGCTGAAAATAACATTGAAAATATTGTAACATCACTACGTAATTGATGGCGTGCCTTTGTCTTGACTGTTGTCCAGACCTTCAGCTGGAGAAGTGATGGAGCAGTGCCAGTGTCATGCTGCTGAGGAGCTGGCTCATTGAACTCTGTTCTGGACTGAACAGAAATAGCCAGACTAGAGGAAGTTCAGAGATGGATGATGAGGCAGATAAGAGATCTGCAAAAACTTCTGCATGAAGAGCAATTATATAGATAATGAAGAGCTGAATGAGGAGAACATGGCAAAACTACATTTCCTGAGGAGAGCCAGGACATGTTCAGGGAGTCTGAAAGGCTGCAAATACACTATAGGCAAATAAGTGGAATTTTAAAGTGGAATTAAAAATTAAAAATTTTAAGTGGAATTTTTTGCTTGTTCGTACACTGCACAAGTAATCTCTGGAACTCATTGCTTTAGATATCATAAAAATTAGCAGTGTTCTGAAAAAAAAGATTGAACATTTATATAAGGAATAAGACTATCTGTGAACTAAAACAATTTGGTAAAGATTCCATAGGCTTTAGAGCATAATAATCTCTTTAAGAAGTGGGAATTTGCGCGTCTATGCAAAAGCCCAGTACTAGTAAATAGAAGAAAGATTAAGATTTAAGATTGAGCCAGAAGAAATTTTTGATCAGATTATTTTCCTTTAGTTTCTAAGTTTCTCTTTTAGTGATGATAGTGCTGCAGAGTGGAGGGTGGAGTGGGGGGGAGAGGAGGAATTCAACTTGAAAATTAATCAAAGACTTCTGTATTACAGATTAAAAAAATGAAAATCCAGTCTGAGCAGGTCCTCTGCAGGGTCTGTTCCTGAACTTTTTGCTTAAAGCCAGGGCAGCATATTCTGAACATCTTTTTCACCTGGTCTGCCACGGGCAAGCTCATTTCTTTCTACTGTCTCAGGGGTAGATTGTGCTCGGGGTAGATTGTGCCTGATCAGCACTGATGCCCCTTCCCAGCACTACAGCCTGATAATATGATCTACATGAATATCCTTGTATTTATTCTGAGTTTGTGGGGAGCAGGCGGGCTATTGTACCGATATTCCTGAAGAAGAACAGGGTGGGGTTGAACTGTCTGAGCGAACTGGAGTTGAACTGAGGTGGGGAAAAAGAGGGCTCTCTTTTGACTAACCTGGAGCTGGGTTTTGCCAGGAGGTCGCTGAGTGCCTTTGCTCTCTCCCCGCAGGCTGCTCGGCAGAATGGCCACGGAGGAGCGGCACCTCTCCTCCAGCTGTGGGTCCTTCATCAAGACCGAGCCCTCCAGCCCGTCTTCTGGCATCGACGCCATCAGCCACCACAGCCCGAGTGGCTCCTCCGATGCTAGCGGTGGCTATGGCATCGCCATGGGTGGCCACCCCAATGGCCTAGACTCACCCCCCATGTTCAATGGCACGGGGATTGGTGGTGGGTCCTGCCGTAAGCGTTACGACGACTGTGCCAGCGCCATCATGGAGGACTCACCCACCAAGTGCGAGTACATGCTCAATGCAATCCCCAAGCGGCTGTGCCTGGTGTGTGGGGACATTGCTTCTGGGTACCACTACGGCGTGGCTTCCTGTGAGGCATGCAAAGCCTTCTTCAAGAGGACTATTCAAGGTACGGTGGGAAGGAATGGAAACCGCAGCATTCACTCCATAGAAGTAGAGGGCCACAGCCCCAGACATTGCTGAGACTGCAATGTCACATAAAAGGGGGAAGGGGAGAGTGCATGTAATGTACCTGAGTCTCCATCCTTTTGTATGCTTCCTCTCTCCTCCTAATCAGCTCTGGTCCTCCCAAATGAACATGGACATGAAGTTAGGCTATGTGGTGGTAGGAACTTTTGCCAAGTTCCTAGCCTGGCTGGCTTTCACTAAGATGCATCTTCTTTGAAGATAAAAAAACTAGTCACTGAAGAAGACAAAGATACCCTGTTTGTGTCAGTCTTACGAAGGATGAGAAATTCCTCAGGTGATTTTGAAAACCTCAGTGCATGCATGAATAGATGAATTGCAGTGCATTGCTCCTGCATGAACAATTCACATATGAAGGGTATGGCTGCCTGCCTGCCAGAGGTGTGCTTGCAGATGTGCACACGCACAGCTACAATATAGCCAAAAGCAGGAGTGCATCCAGGTAACGTCCAACACCCATGGATGCTTGGGCATACTTGCTTACATGTGCCCCATGTGAGCAAACATGGCTAGACATACAGATACTCCCTTTATTTCCTACTTTCTCTAACTGGAAAAAGGACAGGATCATTTGTCTTCCAGTGGAAAGTGTATTGAGTTCACCCAACTAAGATGGGCTGACTGGAGACAAGGTGTCCTGTGAGCAAGCAGCTGTGTGTGTACTTGGCTGTTGGCTGGGGTTAATCCACCACACCAGTACTGCCTTGTCTCCTGTGAAATGAAAGAAATGCACACGTGGAGAGAGCACTCATTTTGTTAATGGAATGGGTCTGATTGCACTCTGTTTCTGGGGATGTTCAACTCTGCAGTGGACAGAGCAGTCTAGGATGCAGTTCATTCCAGGTCTCTGCAAAAGTCACTATTTCTAGCTTGGTTTCTTAGATTTTAGATGACTCTCCTTCCTGTTATCCAGCTGTGGAAATAATCACTCTTCCCCACTGACACTTTCTTCTTTATTATGCCATGTGGAAATCATTGCCATCTTTAGGGCATTGACCAGTTCTCTGGCAGGGCTTTGTGTGATTTGTCATTGCTTAATCTCTGTGATTGAATGTGAATTTTTACTTGCACTTCTGACTGTCAGCATTGACTCCATCCCTCCTCCAGCTCTTGAGCCATTCCTAGTGTTTCTTTTAGGCATATTCAGGTGCTAAAGGAGGGACAAGGTAGCACTCTGAAGCAAAGTCCTAGGGGCTCCTAATACAGGAAGAAACAAGATAAGTAACTCCTCCTAGGAGCAATACTGGAGCACCTCTGTGGTAGAGCAGAAGAGACCTGGAGAAAGAGGATAAGACCTAGGAACTTTTGAAGAGTTTTCAGAGAGAATCAAAAGAAAATGATGCAGGGTAACAGTACTTAGAGCCTGTGTCAGCCTGAGTGATGTGTCAGCTGACTTAATCCCAAGAGGGGAGAGTGCTTCCTTCCAGCCTTCTCTCCCCAGCACAGCCATATTCTTTCTCCCTGTGGTTCCCTAACTGATTGCCTGTTAACGTGTAACAGATGGGGGAAAGAAATAAGTGGAAATCTCTCTCACTCTGTCATCAGATTGCTCTGGTGACTGAGGTACCAAAATGCTTTTATTTCAAAGAGTGTGAGAGTCAAGTGTGCTGTGCCTGAGGGTGAGCAATTTCAACTATGAAACTGAAGGCTGAACCCACGGGAGTCAGCAGCAAATAGGGGCTGCAGAGTTTGGTTGAGTCAAGAAAGTGCACCATTCCTGGGGCTCTGCTGCAATGCATGCGATATCCAAGCATAGCCCTGGGTGTGCAGGGAAAAGGATTTAAGGATCATGTAAAAGAGAAGGCGAGTGGCAAGAGCATTTACCAAAGGTATTTATCCTGCATCTTTATTATATTCAGTAGCTGTGTTAAGCATCTAACAGACCAAGTGAAAACATCTTCATTCAGTCTGCCAAACATTGCAGAACATGCAGATGTGTATGTTATACCACTGCATTCCCTGCTAATGTCAAAAGACTTGCCATGATTTGGTATCTGGGAGTGGCATTGACTCAATGGTTAGAGCACAGAGATGGAGCGAGGACTCCAGGATTCCCCAGATGCAGTAGGTAAATTCATCATCAGGCTCTTGTGGTCTCAGACCAGCCACTTCACTTCTCTGTGCTTGAGTATTGACAGATGAAAATCTAATGAATACTATGACAGTACTTATTCTGCTGGCCCTATGTTAGGTATGCATGCTGCCATAAAATGAGTCGAAATCTGTCCTGAATTATTACACTATCTAGATACCCCTGATCATGAAAGAGAAGCTTCACATGAATTTGCCCTGCCAACTAGCCCTGCTCCCCTGCTACAAATGACCCCAGTCTGCCTATGGGGTTCTTTTAGTTGCATGAACTTATGTAAAACCTGCCTATCTTAGGGCGAGAGCTAGCAGGGACGTGGCTGGTTATCTCTGAGGTCACTAATATTGCTGTGTGAGAATTTTCTGTCAGTAGGATTTTTCCAAAGAAAAGTGGAATTTTTACCAAGTCAGATTTCCCCAAGAAAAATTTTGATGATAGGAAAAAGAAAAGAAGGCAGGAAAATCCAAACCATTGATTCAGTTCAAGATGAATTGGAGTGTTTGGTTTTGCTGAACAAAGACAGGATGACACAACACATCCTAACCTGTCCCACAGATTATGGGGGGGTGTCACACCTATGACCTCTCACCTGTTGTGTTACACGGCCCAAAAGAAAGATCAAGGTTTGGAAACCTGTGTGTCATTTCCACTTTGCAGCACTGGAAATGCTTGAGATGGAAAAGTGAAAACCTGAAACAAGATGACAGAACATGCCACTGGGCTGCAGGCCTGTTCTCTCTGAGCATGTTATTTTGAACCTAAGGTCTGGACTTCCCATGCTTTGAGGCAGAGCCAGAAGTTCTGAACCGACCTGACGCATTTTCGGTCAGCTAGGCGACCTGACAAAATTTAAATCATGTTTCTCTATCATTGCATTGCATCGTGAGATTATATTCTACTGGCAATCTGCATTGACCTCCATGGCGCAAGTGTCCTCACATGTGTCATGGATGTCACCTGACTGTGAATATTGTGGAATGTGCAATCTAGTGCAGATAGGAGAGAATCTGAATTTCAAGCGTGTTGGAAGTGTGCTGCTACTGATGCTCAAGAGAGGTCTGATTTGAAACCAAAAATTTCATATTAGCTGAATGTAATGGAACAGGTATGTTACACGAAAGGTATTGTGTTTTGGATGTTTCTAAATTAAAACTTTTTGAATTTCTGTTCTGTGGAAATCCTAAACAATACTTTCATCCAAATTTAGGACAAAGGCAAATGCTGGCTTTCTTACGTGGTACAAATTCTTAATCTAACTCTATTCCTTCTCTGAATAGTTTACTCAGTAGATAGAACATTATGTATCAATCAGATATAAATTTTTGTTCATCAATCATTACAACTAGTAGGTAGTTTTGTCTCTTTTGAATATTAACTGATTGCAGTGCTGTGTAACCATATGAGTCCTTTATTATTCAACATATTCATGACTATGACTACCCTTCATCTATTTTTCATCTTCAAATGGTGAAAATTAAGGCTATTTCTAAAATGACCCATTAATATAAAATAAAAGCTTAGGGCTAAGCAAAATAAATCTGAATTAAGATTTCTCTTTTTGATCTTTGTGAATCATCTCCTTGTGTGCATGGAACTCACACCCATAAGGTGATACAACAGGACTTGCGAGGAGTGATATTGGAAGAACTGGTTACTGGAGAGTCAGAGAGAAGAGACACATTTACCATCATCTTCTGGATAGGCAAGTGGTGTATCAGGCGAAGTTCCTGCATCTGTGGATTTCCTGTTGAGTCTTTCAAGCTTCAAACCCAGTGAGTGTAGCAACAGAACTGCCTTGTTGGTATGCCTTTACATCAATAAGGGGCTTAAAATGTGGATAATGCAGTTCAGAAGACTTCTAGGGATTTATAACAGGCTTGTAATAAAAGCCATAGTCTTCTAGGGCTTCCTGGTTGTTGTTACGGTGCTTAGAGTGGCTTATGGGAAGGGAGCAGCAGTTGAGAAAGTTTTTCATGAGCAGAAGAGCATTGCCATCTACATGCACAAAGGAAGTTTTAAGTCCCTACAGTAGCAGCCATAGAAGCCAAGCACTCTTCTGTCCTTCTCAGAAATGTGCCTGCTACTTTTCAGGTGGGAGTTCACAGCTTTCCAAAAGCTTCTGAAGCTTAACCAGGGAAAGTGCAGTATTTCATAATCTAGCACCTGACTGCTGCTTACTATTCACAGATCTGTGCTTGGATTTAAAAAACCACCTCCAGTGCAACCTCAGGTCTATTAGTCTTGTGTTTTCTCTTGGCCTCAGTGCACAGAGAACTCTGTGCAGAAGGACCTTTTCTGTGCAACTTCTGTAAAGTATTTCTGTATCTGAAACCCTATAGACAAACTTGCTGCTGATAGGGAGCCCCAGGGCCCATGTCCTGCTTCCCTGTGGAAGCAGGAGGCTGATTTGAGTTGTACTAAATGTCCAAGTCCTCTTTTGTGGAGCAGGAGCCAGGTGTGCCACCCTGAGGAGGCGAACAGTGCTGTTGTTACACCTCTGCGTATTCCCTTTTCCTCTCATAGTGTCAAGTGCTCACATTTCTGGGTTTTTTACTGTTATCAGCACATGAAGTAAAATTTTGGTTAATCCAAGCACTAGGGCTTATCTCACCTGCTTTTTCAAACTCTCATTTTCCTGCAAGTGATAGCAGGAGAGGAGGGGAGCTTCGTTTTTGTTGGAGTATTTTTTTGTTTGGGGGGTGTGTGTGTTTTTTTTGTTTTATGGGGTTTGAGGGGTTTTTTTGTGTTGATATTTTTCCTTTCCAAAAATAAGAGCCTCTGTTGATGTTTGTATATACTCAGGCACCTAGATCAGGGACATGTCCCTTGAAGCACAGGACAACCCTGCGGAAAATCAAGTTGCTTATTCAAGTTCCTAAATGAAGCTTTACAGGTTCAATATTTGAATTCCTTTCTTTGAAAACTGGAGCTTAAAAATAACCTTTCTTACCTCATGCAGATCATTGGAGAGATTTTCCTCTGACTTTTACAAAGTACCTCTCCTCACATCAGGACTTGGGCTATGATGCCTCATTTAGATGGGCTAATTTAAGTGAACAGCAATGAAGAAGAAACCAGAAAAAGAGAGATGGGTTTTCTTCAGCAATCAGACGCTGAAAATTATTTAGTTTTAAAGACTTTCTTGGTTATTTCTATCTAGTCTTTCCTGAGTTTCCTTGTGGAAAGGCTTTCTAAAAGGTTAGAATCAGGAAGCAGGGAGTAGCTTGTGCCCTCAGTGCTGTACTAATTCCAAACTCAGCTCTCCAGAGGAGCCCTATCCACAATTTAAGAAGGAGCCGGGTAGGACTTCGTTGTGCTCCCCAAGGTCAGGGAGGCATTCTCCTCTTCCCAGTCCCTCCCAGAGAATTAGGGTGAATATAGGATCTCTTGAATGATCCAGATCTGGTGTACAATTTTCAGGTGCTTCTATTATGTGTGCACTGGAAATGATATTCCAAATTGTTTAACAGTCAAAGGTCTAATTTTGCCGAAAATAGGGTAATTTTGCAGTTCTCCAGCATAAAAAACATGATCTATCACTTTAACAGTCCTCCGCTGTTTCTTAGTATCTCTCATCTAAAGGCTTTAAAGTACAGTTAAACCTTAATGAATAAAGACTCGAAATCTTCCCAGAAGGTAGGTTTGGTGTTCGTATCATTTTGCAGATGAGCAAACTAGGACACAGAGAGGAAGTGATTTGCCCTCCAAGGGGACATGTGAAGAAATCCAAACTGTGATCCTGTCATTCATCACTTGATTTTTTTTTAAGCCATTTTTAGGTAAATCTTGTGCTGTGGTATCGGTGAGGTTCTACCATTTTTTTTCAGATCAATGTAAATATTATCTAGGTAAAGGAAATCTCTCTAATAAGCAACAGCTCAAAGCAAGGCCTTGCCTATCAGATTATGTGTTTTTTTCTGACCTTTCCTTCTGGGTCACATAATCTACTGTTCATTACACACAGAGACTTGACTCAAATTCTGTTGTTGCATAGAGAGTTGCAAGTGCACCCTTGTATGCTGACACTCTTCTGCAGGACTTTGCAGCACCCCCAGCTGCAGCAGTGAAGGGGAATCTCTCTCTGAGGCCCCTGCGCTGGCAGCTGGGCTGCTGGTGTGACCGCCAGCCACTGGGAGGTTGTTGGAATTTCGATGAGTTAATCTCATCACTTTATCACAGGGCACTTACAGAAATTACAGGGAGCTGTGAGCAGCTCACTGTGCTGGCAGCCAGCCCCAGGACCCATAAAAGAAATTGAGACACACACAAAAAAAAAAAAGTCAGAGAACTTTGTTAAACTTTTGGAGATGATAGTTTTTTGTGATTGAGTTCTGCTTGGGTAATGCTGATTGTGCCTCCCCTGGTCATGTCGCTGCTTCCTGCAATAATGGCAGGTATTGCCCCCCGCTGTGGCTCTCAGTCCATGCAGCACACAGCATGTTTTTGGGCCTGGCATAAAACGCCATTTGCTTTGGCAGCATTGTCTTGTGTGAAGAGGGTACAGTGAGCCTCACCTCTAGCATTTGCACCTATAGAGAGGACTGTAAGACACAGCTGCTGGTCCTTTCTTCCCTCAGACTGGGCACAGTGTGTGGAAGAGACAGATGAGCCTGTGTTAAATGTGAAGGCAAACAAGCATGCTGAATGGGATGTCCCACCAGTGCTGAATGTATTTTTTCATATGTGCTAACCAGCAGACTACGGGGCTGCTGCACTACCTGGTGACCACTGCTTTGCTGTCCAGGAAGGGGTGCTTGCCCAGTGCTCACTCTCCTCTGGCTCTGCTCCTTTAACAGTCATGATCTCAGTACAGAAATGCCTTTGAGAACTGCTGTGTGTATCCGGCATGTGTATGGTAACTATTACCTGCACATACTCTGACACTGTCACATTTAGTTGTGATATATTTTTGTAGACCCTTTTCAGTGATTTGCTTGTCAAGGGGACCAGGGCCTGGAGGCATGGGGAAGTTGGGGTATCTTCTTGACACTGTGGAGGGACCTTGAGCTTTCAGATGAGGGCTGTCACTGCCTCCAGCTGCTATAAAGGCTCAGTGCCCTTGGTGTAGTATCTCTGTGTAAGGGGTCAAATTTTTGGCCTTTGGACCACAAAACATGAAATCTTGTGTCTCTCTAGAACTCTCATCCTGGGTTTGGTGAGAAAGGTTAACACTGAAACAAAGGCAAAACTTTAACAAAGTGAGACTCTGTTTGAGTTTTTTCCCAGGTTTGTTCCTGCTGCGTTCCTTCCTGCGTGGGGCACAGCAAGTATCTGATCATGAGATCGTGGCCACCATACTCATGGGTCTGTAATGTGCTGAAACTCTGTGTTTAGAGCAGGAGTTTGTTTATTACCTTGAGATCAAGCTTGAATCTCAATTTCCAGCTCTCTGAGAATGTTGATACGTGGCTGGCTATTGAAATTCAGGTGCTGCACAATGACGAAATACAGCCTGAACGGAAGCAACACTGTGCAGCACACTGTGCTCCTGCAGACAAACTGTATTTTGGGGGTAGATGAGCAGTGGTGAAGAATGGGGTGGCTGGGGTGGAGCTTAGGGTCAAGTTGCAAGTCTTGTGACAAAACAAGAAGCAAGAGGTAGAATGTTTGTAACTAACAGGCCAATCACCTTTAGGCTTTAGGGGCTGTGTGCTCCTGGAGTTTCACCCAGAATGGGCCAAGAATACTGAAATAAACAGTGCTTTCTTTCTAATGAATCTGTGCTCTGCTTTTCCACTCAGATTTTCAAGGGGCTTTCCAATAGCTTAGTTAGCCCCAAGGTCTAATCACCACACCCAAAGATTGATATATATCAGATTGTTGATCTTTATTTAGAGAGGGAAGGGTCTTGCACTAGAATATAAAAATCCATTACAGAAGTAGGAACAAAAATCAAGTCCTGTCCCAGTGTTAACAAACTGTAAACTCTGCTTCTAATCTGATGTTTTACAAAGTCCATACTGTTATTGTCTCAGCTCTTACCTACATTCCTCCCTACAGCTCTGATTGAACTCCTGAATCTCAGTTTCCTTCCTTTGATCATCAGACCAACTTCTCCATTCTTCTGAATTGACTATAGAGCTTAGATACCCTTTTCAGTGCTGCCTGATTTACCAGTATCTAGTCCATCCCTGCAGCAAACATTGAATAGCCCTCTTCAGAAACATCATCTCAAAATGAATGGCAGGATGGAGACAGCTGGTTTGGTTTGTTGTCTTCTAGTACTAAATAGTTGTTACCTTCCACTGTCATCCAGCATAATTCCACTTACATCCTCATATCAGACCCTTGCTCCATGTTTCAGTTACATTCTTGGCTTCCAGTACAATACGATTTGACTAGAAATAAATTTGGGATGTTTCTTTCCCTGTTTTATCTTGGAGACAGTGTTGCAACGTGATTGTAAACGAAAAGGAAATGAGAAGTGATAATGGTCTGTGCAAAGGGATGAGAGGCAGTTGCACAAGAACTAATAAAGTAAAACTGTAAAGATTTGCACAGGTAACCTATGTTCATTTTACAGGATGTCTTATCTCTTTCTCAGTCTAGACCTACTGCTTCCCTGCTACCTGTAGTATGCCTGCTGGCAGGAGGAAGCAAAGGAGAAAATGCTGGTTCCCCAAGTGAGGCAAGAAAGGACAGATGACATCTGTCCCACAGACGTGGAGCAAGACTGGCAGCAAAGGAAATGCTGCTAATGTCTGAACTGCTCCCATGCTCAGCCCTGGACTTCAGGGAACAGACCAGATTATAAAGGGTGCAGCACAGGGGACAATGACATACCTAGAGGACACGTGCCTGAAAGCCCAGCATTGCAATCAGCCCCTTGGATAGGTCAGCTGGCTGTAGTCTCAGAGGATGTGTCTGTGCAAATTAGCGAGCAAACGTACAACATACACAGACTGATGGTGTTGGGAATATCTGGGCACTACAGCCTGTCCCTGGATCAGTGGGGAAAACGTGATTCCTGGGTGACCATCTCTGTGTTTGATTTCAGGGAATATTGAATACAGCTGCCCGGCTACCAATGAATGTGAGATCACGAAACGGAGGCGCAAGTCCTGTCAGGCCTGTCGCTTCATGAAATGCCTCAAAGTGGGGATGCTAAAAGAAGGTAAGAGAGTCAGAATGAGAATTTTTCTCTGCCCTAACAGTGCCTGGGACTCCAGGCCTTGCAGGATCTCCGAGGCTAACTACATGCTTGCCTACTCTGGCTTTCTGAAGGAATCTTTTTACAGGCTTTGTAACAGAGTCAGGATGGGCAGTGACTAAGAGGGCAGTCGAGAGAGGAGAGTGGTTCTAGTCAGCACCCTTGTGCCAGGATACTATTTCTACTACTTGCAAATTTGACAAATAACTGGAAACTGGCTGTGCCAGACTGTTTCCTTTCCCAAACTAACCCTGCGCTGGAGGGTGTTGCTCTTCTTTCCCTCAGGTCATTTTTCATTTTTGAGGAGAAGAAGCTCTTTCATGATCATGACTGGGTTGGGTGGATATCATAAGGGAAGGACAGAGTTAATGCACAGCTGTGGCACCCTGTGTGATAAAGGTCTGCCCATATTACCACTCAAGAGACTTTCTGAAGATGGGTGGTAGCACAAGTTTGTCTGGGAGCTGTGGATTGCTGCCCTGCATGCTCAACCTATGTTGTGCTCAGTCTATTGATGTGTTCAGAGGTCTCTGAGCAGTATTCAGCTTCTCTCTTGTTCTGTTTTTCCTCCTCCTCAATCCTTGTCCATTCAAGGTGAACCATAGGGAATTCAGTGGCAATTAAACACATTCTTATAGATTGACTTTAAAACTTTGTTTCCCTTGGGTCCCTCTGGGAAAGGCAATGAGGGGAGGAGGGGGAGGGAAGGAGAAGCATTGCATGTAACCTCCTGCATTGCTGTACCTGGCAGAGCATGGTCCCCTCAGCTTAACCACAAGGAACAGCAGCTGGCTGTGGACTGCAGAAGTCCTGTATGCTGGAGCCAAGACACTAGCACACAACTCTCTTCCAGGTCATAACATCATAGCAGCTGGTGATGAATTGTATGATGTCACTTGAGTGTGTATTCCTTCTCAGTAGGGCTCTCTCATTTCTTGAGGGGCAGGTTAATGGCAGCCAATGTTGTAAAGAATGTAGATTAGGTGTTAAACCAGTTTTGTTCTTTGATGGATGTGTGGTTTCTGTCGTTAAAAATCTTCCTTCTAGAGCGCACCAGTTACCAAGGGGCAGAGAGGCAGACTTATGTAGTCTGGCCCACCCTGACCTAGATATAGAGGTGGTAGACTCAGAGGATCTTGATCTACTGCTAGGAAGGAGGCACCTGCTTTGTAGTTAGAGAGGGACCACTGAAAACCTGCTTCTCCTCATGTGATAGTTCAGGGAGGGGATGTATCCCCTTTCCCACGTGCCAATGCACAGTAGTGACACTGGCTTTAGTGGGAGCGCAGGTTTATAATGCACTGTAGCCTATTCATATGAATCCCATAAAACAACCTTAAAGGCCTGTAGTGGCTCCAGTCACTGGAGCAGCAGAGCAGCAGCATGGGTCCAGGCTTGCTGGCTGCCTATATCTATGCTGCCCTGCATCCAAGCAGTTGAGTCTCTCAGAGCTGGCAGCTGTTGAAGCGGAGTCACAGGAGCTGGTGCTGGCATGCTGACTGTGTGGCCAAGGTGTCTTCTGCTTCCAATTTTGGAAGTTCAGCACTCTTCAGAGCAGGGTCCTGTGAAGGTTTTGTGTCTTAGCTGTCAAGCTGTGAGAAAACAGTTAACTCCTTCCAGACCAGAGTTAGTCTGGAAAGCAGCATAGATTCACTCACACTATGCTGTGCATGAACTCCTGAACTCTATGGGATAGTACTCATGGCAAACTGAAATTTGACTCCAAGGCTGCTTTTATTAGTGTATTTAGTTATTCATATCGGGATTGATCCGGCATCATTAAAGTCTCTGGGGAAGGGTGGTTTGCTATTGATGTTAGTGTATCTGTGATCCTGCCCATAATGTTTAGTGCTGTGGAATATACAGCATAAAGATTTATTGATACCAATGGGATACAAGAGCTCATGATAATATCAAGAGGAGACTACACTAGCAATTTGCAAATAGGACTCCTCTGCACTAACACAGAGTGGTCAAGTGATGTTGGTCAGGCATTTTTTTTCTCTTTCTTTTGCTCAGTATTCCAAGCTGAGAAATAAGGGTCCTACTGCTTTGCTGTGCAAAAGGATTATGAGGGCCAATTAGTTAACTTTATGTGAAGCCTGGTGGAAGCACATGGTATTAATATACAGAATTCAATCAATACACATCTTTAAAAGCCAAATCCAAGAAGGGAGAAAAATGGTTTTATACTCTTTGGTCTCCACAGAGCCAGGAGTTTCTAGAAAGAACAAATCCACAATTGTTTGATTTGCTCAAAATGCAGAATTGACAAGGGATTTTGGATTAGAAAGGGTTCATTAGTCTTTTCCATCGCTGATCAGTCATCTTATTAGCTCATCCATTCCTTTTCTGGTGCCAAGTGTTCCCAGCTGTACAGTTCTAATACTTTAACTGTTTTTAAAAGTCCCCAATATCTTGGTTTCCCCAGAGAGCCTATTCTACAGTCTCCAAGCATTCATTAGGACAAGATGTATCTTGATATTTGAGCAATGTTTTTTTTTTCCTTTCAGTAGTTCCCCTTTCAACTTTCCCTTGGTGTATCTTTTCATCCCTGGATTCATCCATGGCAGAAGGTTGCTAAGCCATGTTTTTCCTCCTGCTTGATTATCACAAGTTTGGAGGAAAACAGTTGTTTGTTTAAAGGCAAGATCTAGAAACCAGTCCTTCTCTTGACATGTTTCTCCTTGATGTCCTTGGCAGAGGGTTTGTAACTTAGTGGGGATGTTTCTGGGTCAAGGAACTGTTCTTTTGTTCAAGAAGAAAAGTGTGATATTCCATTAATAACTAATTAAGGGCTTCCTGATTTCTTCTCATTTTCCTGGTTATTCTCACCATACCTGATGTACATATCATTTCCTGCCTGATGGGCATGTGGCATGAACCTGTTCTTCAAGCAGAAGGCACCAGTACTCAAAGATGGCAAAAACAAGTAGCCATGACTTCAAGTTCTGCCTAATACTTGAAGTGCTCAGCTTGATGCTGCAGGAGGGACTTAGGTTCTCCCCTTGGAGCCTGCATATAAGGTCACCAGACATCTCTCCTCCCTACATGGGCTGCAGCTAGGCAAACAGCTGTGAATGTAGCCCTTTAAGATCTGGGGAGACTTCCCCTAACATAGAAGTGCAGGTTATTCAGGCAATGCTGAGTGAATGAGGATCAGGGCAGGAAGAGAGCCAGTGGACCAATCAATAGGTGTCTCAGATATCCAGGCCACTTTCTTTGAGAGAGCTCCGATCAATGTATTGCAACAAGGGAACTGCACGGACACCAGAGCTTTGCTGTCTCAGGTTCTCCTGTCGTGACGCTGCAGGGCAGGCAAGACTCACTGGGAAAAGTGGCAAGCAGAACACTCTGCCCACGGAGCCCAACTGGCTCAGATGTCTCAAGTGTCAGCCTGTCTGGATGCCTGTCTCTCACTTTCCTCTTCCATCTGGAATGTGCCCCCAGAGAGCATTAATTAGCCCTCACTAGCAGGCTCATATAGGAAGCTGCTGAATCTGGAGTCTAGAATTCCAGCAGATTCCAGTCCCAGTGCCCCTGTGGAGAGGCATTGTCCCCAGAAAACCTGTGCTCTGCTGCTCTTGGCCTTGCTGAAGCACCAGCAGACAGTGGGAAATGAGCATCTTCACAGCTTTGTCCAGTAGAAGGACACACCCCTCTGCTCTGCAAAGCTCAGGGAAACCTGAGCAACCTGTGATAATGCTCACTGCAAATGGAGAAGATGATACCTACATTCATGTCTGGCCAGTGGGGATGACCAGTAAAAGAAAGCATGCCCTCCAACTTGCAAGGGAGAGGCATTTTTCAGAGCTGGGCATCCTTGGTTTTGTCCACCACATTGCCTCTTTGCCCCCATCATTGTCTGTCTTGTGACTACAATGACCAAATATAGCTCTTTAACTCTGGGCGCTACAGTGTAGATCTAGATCTCTCTGGCCTTCTGGAATGATGGATAGAGAAATTTCAGCAGTTTGGCAGGTCTCTTTTAAAAACTCAATATACCTTGTCAGTTTACCTTGTCAGTTTTAGAGAGAATATACCCTTGCCATTCACGCTCTAGCCACCCATGGCCTTTCTGTTCTACAGCAATTTGTTTGTCTTCAAGACACAGATGTAATTTCAGATGACACATGGCTTGTGTATGTGGATTCAGAGGTTTTATTTTGGACGTTGGCTGGTTAAACATGACCTTGCAGCTTTGCCCTCTGCTGCCTCTCTGAAGTCGCAATCCTGTGTGTCACCTTGTAGAGTGGCATTGTGACAAGGCCAGTGATGTCAGTCTTTCTCTATGTGTCAGTGTGGTGGGTTGACCTTCACTGGCCACCAGGTGCCCACCAAGTTGCTCTCTCACTCTCCTTCCTCAGCAGGACAGAGACAAAAAATATGCTGAGAATGCTTGTGGGTTGAGATAGTGACAGAGAGATCATTCAGCAATTATTGTAATGGGCAAAACTCGACTCAGGGAAAATTAATTTAATTTATTGCCAGTTAATAAGAGAGTAGGATGTTGAGAAATAAAAACAAAACCAAAACCACTTTCCTCTTACTTTTGCTTCTTCTGAGGCTCAACTCACTCATGGCACCTACCTCCTGTGCCCCAAGCAGCACAGGTGAACAGGGACTGGGAATTTGTGGTCAGTGTATCACACTTCATCTGTGCTGCTCTTTCCTCCTCACACTGTTCTCCCACTGCAGTGTGAAGTCCCTCTCACATGATACAGTTTTTCATGAACTTCTCCAAAGTGAGTACTTCCCATAGACTGCAGTTCTTCACAAACTGCTCCAACATGGGTTCTTTCCACTGGCTACAGTCCTTCAGGAACAAACTGCTCCAGTGTGGGTCCCCCACAGGCCACAGTTCCTGCTGTAAAACCTACTTCTGCATGAACTCCTCTCATTGGCTGCAGCTTCTACCAGGAGCCTGCTCTGCCACAGACTTTCCACAAGCTGTAACTTCCTTC